TAAAGGAATAGATTCAAGAAGACTTGAATTATGTCCAAGAACAATCAATTGTTCATGAAAATCGCAAACTTACAATCTTGAGTTATCTAGTAAAATGAAAATGAGGATGTCGGGATAGCTCAATTGGTAGAGCAGAGGACTGAAAATCCTCGTGTCACCAGTTCAAATACCACTATTTTTGGTTTTGGCTCTTCCAGATCATTCCCGCAGGAGATCCGGACCCTTTTTCAGAAACGAGAGAAAAACAAGATGAGAGAGGGGGGGAAGGAGAAAGGGTGAATCTGAAGCCAAAATCAAATTGAGAACCAAAAACGAATCCAAATCCAGATTTGAATGTCGATCTGAAACCCTATCCGAATCCAGATCCATATCTGATTCTGAATCCAAAACCGAATCCCTATACAGATACAAATCTGAAAACAAAATCAAATTCAATCCCGAATCCAGAGTTAATTTTGAATCCAAAACAAAATCCCTAACCAGATCCAAATCTGAAACCAAAATTAGATTCAATCCCGAATCCAAATCTGAAAACGGATCCAAATAGGAATTAATATAATTCCAATTGCCATTACAAAAGTGATGGCAATTTTGGGCATTAAAAGATATTTTTGGATGGTAATTATTCCCAAACCCTACCCGAAAATGGACCTGGAACCTTACCAGAATCCAGATCTAAAACCTTACCCAAATGTTGATCTTAAAATGGATCTAAACCCTATTTGAATCCAGATTCCAGTCCATATCTCCAACCACATCAAAGTTTTGTACGGCTTGATCATTCCTATTGGGTTTTGAATATGAAGCTGAAGTGGAAGGGATTACGTTCTCCAGAAGAGCATTGGGATGATCATATAATGTGGCAAAATAAATTTCTTTATTTTTTCTACCCACCTTGAGAACAAGGTGGAAATTTGGGGGCGGGTATTGTTCTGTACTGGGTCAAATAGTCAATACTAGTAAGCAGGGTCAATGTTAAATGAAAGGTACAAGTAGTTAGTCCAATAGTACAAGTTGTTAATCCAGCCATCCATCCAGGTATAAATAAAGGGCTTGTGGTTTAAGGGAGTACCGATTAGTATTGTGTGAAATTGAGATTGGCAACAGTCATGGGAGAGCGCTCAGTCTCTCGAAAACTGAGAAACCCTTTGTATACATTCCATTTTAATTGAAGGTTTTAGCATTTGATAATCGGTGCGTAATACATACTGATCATTCCAGCCTCGAGCATAGATTTTGAAACATAGGTCCTTAAAGAGCTTTAGTTAGGAGATCTGCAATTTGTTGTTGTGATGGCATGTATCCAAGATTGATAAGTTTAGCTTCAATCTTTCCACTTATGAAACGTGATCAATCTCATTTGTTCAATCATGGTGGTTGGGAATCTTTGCGATACATATCGTTGCTTCATTGTTGCACGCAAGTGTGGTTGACTTTGAAGTCTCAACTTTGCATTCACTAAAAGTGGTCTCTTAAGCCACATCCCTTCACATATTCCATGTGTCATTGCTCGATATTCGGCTTTATACTACTTCATGCCTACTTGCCCATATAGAAGTATAATAACCCTCTGGTCAGAAAGAGATCCAATCCAGTCTCTGCATCAGTGAACACTTTTGTTCCTTTATTTGAACCTTTTCTAAATGCTATTCGCTTGCCCAGTGTCCCCTTGAGATACCTCAGGTTTTGATGTGTTGCCTCCATGGGTTCCTCTGTGGGATTGTTTATAAACCGGCTTACAACCTTATCGAAAACCCTATGTCAGGCTTTACATATTTCCCACTAAGCCTTGGTACCTTCCTCTTTTTACCGAGTGTTGTATAGATCCTACTTTGTTGTATAGATCCATTGGTGTGTGAGCAAGTTCACACCCAAGCATTCTTGTTTCTTTAGAATATCTAGGACATACTTCCTTTAAGAGATGAAGATTTCTAGTCTTGGTCTAACAACTTGCATTCCAAGGAAATACTTCAAATTTTCAAGATCTTTAATCTCATGCTCTCTTGACAATAGGTTTTTGAGACGATCTTTTATGTGATCGTTGCTGGTCATGACTATATCATCAACACAGACAATAAGAATAGCTAACGTTCGATCTGAGGTGTGCTTGACAAAATGAGTGTAATCCGCTTCACATTGAAGGTATTCCTTTTTGAGAACCGTAGGAAACAATTCAAACCATGCCCATGGGACTATTTTAAGGTTGTAGAAAGACTTCCTGAGTTTGCATATTTTTCCTTGAGTTGCCCGAGTTAAAACCTGGTGGCAAGTCTATGAAAACAACTTCTTAAAGTTCGCCATTGAGGAAGACGACTTTTACATCAAATGGTGCAGTGGCCAATTTAGGTTTGCAGCAGTAGATAGCAAGATTTTGATGGTGTTCAACTTGAAAAGTAATGGAAATGTTCCTTATTAGTCCATCTGGTTTGATTGACTAATTCCTTTTAGCCACCAACTATAACACTCGTGGTACCAAAGGAATTTCAATTACGGTTTAAGCGAGCTATTTGGAGGTAATTGTTAACATTATGGTGCTTGGATGTGTTTAATAGTCGTGGCATGTTATAGGATCAAAAGGTTAGAAAAATTGGGTAATAGGAATAAAATTCTCGATAATAGGAAGAAAAATTGTGGCCATCTAATTTATCGCTTGTAATAGGAAGAAAATTCTCGAAGTATCCTAGATGATTCAAGTAAGATGCCTTTGGATTGGATATGACTTCTAATTAAATTGGAAATGGGTTCTCCGCCAACCATGGAGAATTTTAGAGTTTCAGCAGTTTAAGGAGAGCAAGATTAGGTTTTAGCAATGGTTTTAAGGGTGATGTTGGTGAGGGAATGACGACGACAACAAGAGGACTTTGAAGCTTACCATTGTTGCTTGGTTGATGTTGCGATTGGAACATGGCTGCTATCTATTCATTGAATTTGCTTGATTCCATTTTTTATATAGCTCGCTCCCCCTTTTTCCAAGAATCCATGCACTTCCCTTTACTCCATAGGGCCTTCTTTAATAGATTCATAGCCCAAAGCCATCCATTTCCGTCAAATGACCCGGCCTCTGGCAAGAAGAGAGTAGTACGAGGCTGGGATCAGAGTAGCTCTGGTACCAAGTGGAATTCCTTACTTTCTTATTCCATAAAGAGAGAGCTACAAGGCTATTTATACAGATCAGGAAAGGAATCCTACTAGGAAACATGTTAGAGTTGGCAGAAATTATCCTAATCTTCTAAATAATAAATCACAACTAAATCCTTTTGTAACAAGGACTTCAAATATCTCTGCAAGGGATTATATAGTTAAGCGATTCAACATTTGGTTTTGAAAGCTTGGTGACCTAATTGTTAGCTTCACAAAAGTCCAAGGACCAATATATGAGCCAAGCAGTTATCAAAACACCAATATCACCGGAATGACCGAAATTAGCTTCACTTGGTGGTAAACTATATCGGCCTGTTTTAAAACCAAATAAAATGAAAAAAAGGGTTGTTAAATATTAATAAAAGAGCTAAAAACAAAAAAGGGGGATGAAAAGAAGGGCTCTTAGTGGGAGGTGATGAGGTGTTTTATGGGGTGTTCAGGAGAAGGCCACATCAAGTGATGGGCCACTTAGTTTCAGCTCCTCAACTCTTGTATAAATAGGCATCCTCCTTTTCTTTTTTCCTTACCTGCAAACTCCAGCAGAGAATTCTTATAACACAAACACACCTATTTTGTGAGGAAGACGAAGAGAGTAAGAGCCAAGAAGAGGAGAGAAAGTGAGAAAAAGGACAGCAGAAATTAAGTCTTTAGTAGCCTAATCAAAATCTGATTACTTGATTTTCTGTATTGTTTTGTTTACGAACCTATAATGCATACTTCAATTACTAAATTTCATAGATTCTCTAGTTTTCTGTCTCATACATGCTATTATGATAACTATGTTCATGATTTTTATTTTCAATGTGCATATTCATAAGAATAAAGATCACCGATGAATATACTACCAAGATATGAACCGATGAGTTTTAATCATGAAAGGATGGTTGGAATGAGGTTTAAGAATTGTGTATCATCAAGGCGGTATAGCTCTTGCTAGGGGCTGTAGAAGTGGTTTCAGTCCCTTGCCGAGGGGTACCAAAATAATACCAGAAAGGTGTGACACATACCATTGGAAATCGGATTTAAAAATGGTGAACTTCATGAACAATTAGCATGTTTACTTTCTGTTATGAGGCTATAAAATTTGTTTAGATGATATTTGATGTATAAACTTGTGATCACTAAGCAATTCCATTGCTTAAAAAACCTAGTATGTATCGCAGATATTTAACTTCGTTCAAGAAGTGGTGGTACGTTGATCTTGGTCAAGATCATCAAGGAAATTGGCACAGTCGTTTTGGGTTCATAAACGAGTGGTTCATTTATGTAGTTTTTTGGGTAATAACATGTATTTTAGTGTATCAAGTATTCTGCCTTGTAAATGTGATCTATCAAGACATCTTTGTTTAATAACAATAATTTTTATATATAAAGCTTTCTGCTGTGTTTTGAAGTTTTCTGTTTTTAATGGCTGAATAAAGCAGGTACCATACCTTGTATGATTGGTATTGAAAAAAAATGTAGGTGTTACATAAATGATGAGAGATCACATGAACAAACTGATGACAGCAGATCTTAGCTTTAGAAAATTGATTATAGTGTGAGGCTAGCAGATATGGATCGAGTCATGCATCAATCTGTTTGGTTATCGGAGCATTATTTTCGCTTGTTTGTAGAAGTTGCATATGTAGTGACTATATAATTAAGTGACTCGAAAGTTAGTTTTGAATGTTTAGTTTCATTGAAGTGCAAGGACTCATGTATGATTATAGTTAATTTTGACTAAAGTTTGAAGCAGGTCTTTTCACACTGTTGACATTCTAACTTTGAGGATATGAAAAGTAAATCAGATTCATCAGGTTTAGTGCTTATCGAGGTCAACCATATGATGTAAGTGACAAAAAAGTAAAGTTGCTCACCGCAATCGGCCAATTTTCCATCCCTTCCAGCTCTACCTGCTTCTTGGTAATATGCTTCCAAACTCTGTACAGGGGGAAGTAGCCGTAAAAAGTTCATGCATGCTAGCAACTACGTCTTTTGTGTGAGAATTAAGAGCTAGAAAAGTGGATATGCATATTGCAAAAAGTTGGAACAGTCACAACAGGAATGCACAAATAGCACAAGGGAATTTAAAGATATGTAGCTTAAGATAAATAACTAAAATGGAAACATTGCTCTCAGGAACCAGCTTCAGTAACATACCTGCGGCCAACCATAGTGAATGATCCTCCGTACATTTAATTTGTCGATACCCATACCAAAAGCAATCGTTGCAACGACGACCTGGAGGACACATAAAAAATAATTAGTAGACTAATAGTAAACATTTGCCTTTTGCTCGGCAATACATATGGATATTAAAGTTAAGAGTGTGTTTCCACTAAATTGAAAATCTTAATTCACTATATTGTTGCAATTTGTCTGTTCATGTAGAAAGAAAGTTACACATTCCTTCTCACATAACTTGGGCAACTGTTACTAATTTTGTACATGATTGAAAGCTTCTAGCCAACAAAACAGTTTTTGTTCAAACACCCTCTCCGACATGAGGTAATCTTTCGTGTTTGACTAGTCTTTTGGTAATGATCAGATTCACAATATGGACGCTGAAGATAGTCACATAAAAATAATTAAAAGTCTTTATCCAAAAAATAATAATTACAAGTACACAATGAACTTTACACTATTTGTCCCTGTACAAACAAGTAATCTGATTTTGTGTGATTCATCAAGAAGAAATGTACATGAATACTGCTACTACATAACTAACTTATGAAGCTATGTAAAAGATTACTGAAAACCCTAATTATCTACTTATGTCTTACACTCGCTCTCAAGTTGAGCATAAGATATTAATCATGCTCAACTTATTACAAAGACAACCAACCCGAACCCCATTCAAAGCTTTCATGAAGATGTCCATATCCCCTAACTATTCTTCAGTCTTCAAATATTCTATAGAAATTAAACCTTGCTGAATTTTCTCATGAACAAAAATGACCATCAATTTCATTGCGTAATTCACTATAAAATACATGATTAGATGTAATATGACGTGCAGTTTGATTGTCACACCACAAGTTTGCTGGTACTAAAGTCTTAATCCTATCTGAGCTGAAAGCTTATATATCCAACATCATCTTGCACACAGGTTGTGCTATATCCCTGTAATCTGACTCTGTTGGACCATGAGATGACATGTTGCTTCTTACTCTTTCATGAGACCAAATTCCCTCCAACAAATATATTATATCCCGAAGTAGATCCTATCTATCTTGGAACCTGCCCAATCTGGATCTAAAAAATATTCAATATGGCTATGTCCATGAGTTTCAAACACAATGCCACGTCTGGGTGTTCCTTTTAATTAACACAAAAATTGTTTTATCACTGCCCAATGATGAATAATCTGAGATGACATAAACTGACTTGCAACATTGACGGAGTATGCAATATCGGATGCGGCATGCTGTAAGATAATGCAACTTCCCTGCCAACCTTCGATATCTCTCAAGATCTCAAAAGGTTCCCCATCTCTTGCAAGGTGCATGTTAGGAGCTATTGGAGCACTATCGGGTTTTGCTCTCTATTGTCATGTATGGGTTTTTAGGTCAAGGATATTCTCTCTAAGATGTGAATATACCTACTTTACTTCTAGTAACTTCAACACCCAAGAATATTTTAGTATCCGTGAGTCCTATGTAAGGTCTGGTTGAGATAAGTGCTCTAACCGAGGTAAATGGTGAGTGAAATTTGTTGTTCAATAGATATTTTGTATTTAAGCATCGATTAAGTAAAAGAGACTATTATATCCTTTTGTCTATAGTATATTGATACTACATATATACTTTTTAAAATTTAAAAACAAATAATAACTTCACTTTAAAAACTATTTTTAAGTAACAATAATCTTTCTTTTTCTTTCGGTGGCCCTGTGATTATTCACCCTCTTCAATAGAAATCTTTTTCTCTTCCAACTGGCCCCATGGTTGTTCACCCTCTCCAATTCTCAATGTATCGAGACTCTCCAACTCTAAGCAACTCATCGCTTTATCCTTAGAAAATTGTTTTTTAATGATTCCATCATCATACTTCTTATTGTAATCAGGGATTATATTATTGCTTTTAACTTGTGTCTTACAAAGAAAGGATACAAGGATATATACATAGACAGAAAACCTAGACAAAAGAGAAACCCTAAGGGCCCATGGGCTTAATCGGCCTAAGTAAATATATACCGTATTTACATTCTAACACTTCCCCTCAAGCTGGAGCATAGATGTTAATCATGCCCAGCTTGTTACAAATAAAAGAGACTCGCGAACCAGGTAATGCTTTGGTAAGGACATCAGCAAGTTGTCTTCCTGTTCGAACAAAGGGAGTTGAGATGATTCCATCTTCTAGCTTTTCACGAGTGAAATAGCAGTCAACCTCGATGTGTTTTGTTCTTTCATGAAACCCGGGATTGTTTGCAGTGTGGATAGCCGCCTCATTATCACAATATAGGTCTATTGGTTTAGATTGAGCAAACCCAATTTCACCTAGTAGATTACGCAACCATATCAACTCACAAGTGGTTTGGGCCATAGCCCTATATTCAGATCCAACACTTGACCGGGAAACGACATTTTGTTTCTTGCTTTTCCACGAAACTACATTCCCTCCAACCAACACAAAATAGCCTGTCGTAGACCGCCTTAGTAGTAGGATCCCCATTATAGTCCGCATCTGTGAACCCTTCTATGACATGATGCCCGTGATTTTGATAAAGGACCCAAGACCACGAGCACCCTTTAGGTACTTCAATATATGCGTAACAGCGTCCCAACGTGGAGTTCTCGGAGATGACATAAACTGACTTACTACATTCACTGGAAAAGCGATATTAGAACGTGTAATCGTCAAGTAGTTTAGCTTTCCCACGATTCTTCTGTACTTTTCTGGATCCTCAAGTAGATCTCCATCGTCCGCTTTCAATTTCATATTTGGAATCATAGAGGCCTCACAAGGTTTTGTTTCAATCATACCAGAGTCATTCAATATATCCAAACAATATTTCTGTTGAGATAAACATATCCCTTTCCGAGTACGAGATACTTCAATTCCCAAGAAGTATTTTAAAGGACCTAGGTCCTTTGTTTGAAACCGAGACGCAAGGAAATGTTTAGCTTCTTGATCCTAGTCTCATCACTCCCAGCATTCACAATGTCATCAACGTATACCACTAGTAGAATACATCGGAAGATGATGAAATAAATAATACATAATGATCATAAGAGCTACTCCATAAGGCGAACTCAGTCACTACGACATTAAACCATCCAAACCAAGCACAAGGGGATTGCTTTAAACCATACAATGATTTACGCAATTTACAGACTCTACCAAACTCCCCCTGAGCAACAAACCCACGTGGTTGATCCCTATTGCTTATTTTAGTAAGGCGTTGAGTGAACATAACTTGGACAAATCTGCTTATGAAAAGAGATCATGGCCTGGGCCAGGCCCGGCCTGGCCCTGACCCTTGGCGCTTGGCCCTGGCCCTGGCCCCGGCACATTGGCGTTCTTATCTATTGGGAACTAGTTTCATTGTGTATACAGACCAAAAAAGTTTGAAGTTATTGTTACAACAACGAATAACCAATCCAGGTCAACAAAATGAGTGGCTAAATTACTCGGATATCAGTTTGAGATATGTTTTATGAATCAGGTCGTGAGAACCACACGGCAGATGCGTTATGGCAACGGATTGATGATGGTGAGCTGAATTCGATGTTATCATGTCCAGTTTGGCTTCAAGGGCCCAACTTATTGAAGAAGCCAGAATGGAAGCGGATATTCAAAAACTTATTCAAGAGTGGCAGCTTAATCACGCTAGTCATCCCGGATATACGGTTCGCCAAGGCATATTGTATTACAAGGATCGGTTGGTTATTCCTCGTACCTCAAAACTCATTCCCACATTAATCGAAGAATTCCATAAGTCAGCCTCCGATGGTCACTCCGGTTACAATTGAACTTACCATCGATTAGCAATTAATTTTTATTGGCCGGGGATGATTGTCGTTGTCCAACAATTCGTGAAGGCTTGTGATGTATGCCAATGTTGTTAAGCAAGTTCTACCACTCCGGAAGGTCTTTTACAACCATTGGATGTTCCTAATGCAGTTTGGGAACATCTCTCAATGGACCTTATTCTTGGATTACCCAAGTCTAAGGGATACGATGCAATCTTAGTGCTGGTGGATCGACTCTCAAAATACAATCACTTCATTATCTTTAAGCATCTGTATACCGCAAAACGGATAGCAGATATTTTTGTTCGTGAAGTTGTTCGACGTCATGAATTCCTAAGTCTATAGTCAGCGACCGTGATCCATTACTTCTTAGTCATTTTTTGGCAAGAAATCTTTCGTTTACAAGGTACCAGCTGCATATGAGTTCCGCATATCATCCAGAATCGGATGGTCAAACCGAGGTCATTAACTATTGTCTAGAAACATACTTGAGATGTTTTGCTATTGACTAACCATGTTCATGGTCTATTGGGTGTCGTGGGCAGAATTTTAGTACAGCTCTACCTTTCATGGGTCTACAGGCAACACCTTTTGAGACGGTTTAAGGTCGAAAACCTCCCACCGTCATGGTTTTCAAAATCGTTTGAGGCGTACTTCTCGAGGCGAGGCGGTCCAAAACCGCTCATGAGGCAGCGCCTCATGGTCCCTGGACGAGGCTTAAGCCTCAATTAGTGAGGCGGTGCCTTGAGGTAATGAGGCATGAGGCGTTTCTGAGGCGCACGCCTCTCCAAACCCCATTTTTTTTCTTCTCCATTTCTTACTTTTTCCTCTCTCAATAAGATATTCATCTCAAAGCCAACCTAAAAAGTAAGTTCTTTTGAGTTTGTGTCCATATTTTTAGTTTATGTATAATGTACTATATTATATTATATTATATATATTTCAGTCAAGTATATATGTTCTATATCATGTATAATGTGTTATGTATGTTTTTTTGTATATTTTCTGTTTTTCTGTTTTCTGTATTATTTTTATTTTCTGTTCTGTTTTCTACACTATTTTCAGTTTTCTGTAAATTTTTCTGTTTTCTGTGGATTTGGAAGATGAAAGTGATGCCGATTGTGGAGCTAGACAACTTGATCATGCTATGGGGAACTACAAGTTGTAGATTGATATGTTTTTAGACATATAACTAGTATGAGTATCTTATGAATCTATGACGTTTAAAGTTTGGTATGCAATTATGTTCTGCTTACTATTAATATTTATGAATTTTATTTGTTTTTACGCCTCGAGGCTTGTGCCTCCGACAGCCTTGAGGCTTACGCCTCAGGGCGTGGAAGGAAAACGCCTCGAGTCCAGACTCCGCTTTTTAAAACCTTGTCCACCGTGATTCAGTTTATTCCGGGTGAAATCCGGGTTGAAGCCGGGGGCCAAGAGTTACGGATCGGATGAAGCACTAAAGCAACTCAAAGTACATTTATTGCACGCCCTAGCGATAATGAAAGAACAGGCGAATAAGAAGCGGCGTAAGCTGAGCTTTCAGATAGGTGAATTGGCATATGTGAAATTGAAACCGTACCAACAGATGACAGTGGCTCATCGTATACATCAGAAATTAGCAGCGAGATGTTTTGGTCCCTTTAAGATTGTGGATAGAACCGAACTTGTTTCTTACAAATTAGACTTACCTTCATCATCTAGAGTGCATCTCGTTTTTCATGTATCTTTGCTGAAAAAGGTAGTGATATCGGATGCAGTGGAGCAAAGTCTTCCTCCTGAATTGGAATTGAACTCCACTGATATGCTGCTTCCTGAGGCTATTAGAGCAGTACGTAGCATTAGTGTCCACAATTAACTGATATTGCAAAGGCTAATTCAGTGGAAGGATCGTTCCTTGGAAGAAGCTATGTGGGAAGATGCTCTAACCATTAAAAGCCAGTTTCAAGAAGCAATTCTTGAGGACAAGAATTTATTCGAAGGTAGGAGTAATGATACGGATCCTATTGTGATGGACCAAAGCAAGATTATTCCAAGTACTTTAAAGGTGTATTCTAGAAGGCCCAAAAGGACATAAAAGAAAAGTGGCTAAAGTTAGTTAGTGTTTTTGCCTCTAAAGAGAAGGAGAGGCATTACATATGGGGCATTGTGAGATTTCTAAAGATTGTGATAGACTCTTAGCATAGTGCTTAGATTCGATTCCTTCCATTCTTCTTTCTTAAATTGCTTAATCCTATTTCTGGTTTCCATCATGATCAAGGGTCCAGATCCCTTCTTACGCTTCTCACTTAACTCCTATTCTCACCCGATTCTTCGTCTACATATCTAATAGTAATATTTAAAATTACAATGCTGTTAATGAAATCTCAAAATATTTTCATATATATACTTCATATATTTAATATATGAAGATTTTTTTTAGTATCACTGCAATTTAGGGTATTAATTGTGAAGATCCACAAAGTGAAGTTACACATATTGAAAGAAGATGGTCACCCGTATCAAGAGAGAGAAAAGAAGAAAATTCACACACATCAAGAGAGAAGAACGAGAATTTTGCTCTTCTGCTATTTAGAGAAAGAAGAAAAATTAAGAGTCGCAACCACGAAGAAGTAAGAAGACGATAACAAAGAAGACGAGAAGGAAGAAGACGACGACATATGGTATATCAATTTCACCAGTGCTGCGCTAATTTCACTTTTATAGAACACCAGCCACCAAAAGCTAAACATATTTGCAAGACAAACATGAGCAGAAGTCTCCCAAAACATAGCAGGTTTCAAACGGCAATTTGATTATCCAGTGATTTGCTACTGAGACATGGAAATATTGTAGTAGTTGACGACCACTAACCGAATTCACTCCACGGTAGACTGACCAGATCACAATACCCTGCTATTTCATTTCTCTCATCTTGCTGAGCTTGGGTACAAGACAAATATCTTGTACTTGCACATGTAGGATATAATATAAAGAGGTACAGAGATTTTCAAGGAATAACCCCAACAGAGAAAACCATTTCACTTTAGTTCATTAAGTTATATGACCCATACCTGTACAGCATTTTCATGAAATTCCCTGTGCACCTGCCTCAGTTGTGATTTTGGCAGCTGATAAGTGAAGAAAAAAGAAACTATGTCACAATAAGTAGAAAAGAACATAAAAACAATTATGAGCATTCATCAGATGGACATGGATGCTGAAAAAATGGGCACATAAGAATTGCATGTCCTAGTCAACATTTAAATGTTTTTGAAGTATATAGTATTTATATACGACAAATGCAACAAATAAACTCACACACCCTCACTTTTGGTGAGGTTTGAAACCCCGACCTCCTGGAAAGACAATGGTTCAGATACCACTACGCCAAAGTCCCTTTGGTAAATTTCTGATGTTTCCACACAACAAATGGCTGCTTAATGGTAGATTGCCAAAAATGATGCCACTTCCATTATGCACGCAACCAAGAATGTGATTGAACCAATAAAAGGATGTCTTCCAAATAACAGGCATAGAACAGCTTGAGTAAATATGCTTCGAAAGTTAATAAGAGAAAGAAAAGCAGAAATATACCTTTGCATGATAAGCAGCAGCTTTTACGCCGCATCTACAGAGATATTTTGCTATGCTTAATGTTTCTTTCCTGGTTGGGACATATACGATTGTTGACCCTTGCTCAAGTTCTATCTTCCCTTCTGCACCACTAGCTATACAAGAGGAGGCACAAACATCCCAATCCTTCGTGGATGATAGTCCATCAAATTCTCCATAGGTAACTGCAGTAATGCTGGTTATGAAACGAATGTATGAAATAACAAGGAAAAATATGTTTGACGTCAAATTAAAACACCATCATTTTTAAACAAGAGAGATGACAGGAAACTATCAAAGGGTGTTCAATCGCATTGAATAATCATGTTGAGCAAAAATGATATTTAAGCTTTTATCTTCCCTTTTCCATCAAAATATCTCTCATACAAAGATAGATGAAACTTATACTTTATGGTTGGAGGCCTAAAGAACAGGAATAGAGTTACTAGAATTTGAGATCAATTATCTGCTTCAGTTCATGTATGTATCGAACCTATATTTGCATACCTCATTTCTCCCTCCCATCCTTGAGTTATATGGATAGAATCCCCTAAATCCTTCAATCCTATGACCCATTTTGCATCTCTACTTAAATAACAATTAAACAATGTAGCAGATAACCGGAGGATAAAAATAAATTTGTGATTCCTGTCCTACCATGAGTCATAACAAGTATCTTCCAGAGGGCAAGAAAGAAAATTACCATCAAAGTCATTAACATCCAGAAATATGTCGCATTCATCTTCGAGATATTCAACCGATAGTTCTTTTCTCTTTAAAGAAAGGTCACAGCTTTCACTTGGCGAAGTTAAATCATCATCACTTCCAAAAGAAGTCCTTTCCTCTGTACAGTCCAACCAGCTCTTGTAAATTTCATCTTGGCTGGATGTGCCAACTGAAGTGTGGCTTGCATTATCACAAGAATCAACTAGAGCAGTTGACATTAAGCTATTCTTTTTACTGTACTTTTGGTTTCTGGTATATACTTCAACCAACTCACAGAAGTCCCTCTCATATGAGGATGACGATGTGCTACTGTGCTTGACCTACAATAGCAGGGACAAAATCAGGAAAGAATTTGTAATCTGGAAGAAAAGAAAAACTTGAAGTCATACTTTTGTAGTGTACACATAGATGGCCCTCCAAAGAATATATTCGGAAGGATATTAACAAATATTTCGAAAGAAGTAAGCATATGCTGAGGTCCAGAAAAAAGAGAGTGAACTAACTGAAAACCGAAGATTCGGCCGAAAGAAAGAGGTCAGAACAATCGTTGGATCCTCTGACATTTGCAATGACTTCAGAATATCTTCCCGAACTTCAGTGGTGGCAGTAGCAGTCAATGCCATTATCGGTATATCAAACTTCAAGAATGCCAATTTTTTGGAATTGAAGTTCTCTCTCAGTGCAGACAATCGCCTGAAATGTCAAAGAAATATATGTCAAGTCTCAACAGATTATGTTGATTTACACTTCATGCAAGTATCATTATTTGGCTTTGTATTGAGTACTGTCCTGCAACTGGACAATTAATGGTATAGAAGCTAGTCCAGTCATGTGATGGAAAATCGATATAATGCTTTGAAGAACAAATCAGTCTATCCATACAGCAGCATACTTCATACATAGTACAGACTTCACTGGAAGTTTACTGAGGTCATGATTGTTTTGTAGTATCATAGATGGTGCATCTATTAGTTGGTTCCCTTCCCACTCCCATTGGCCAAAACATCCTCTTTAGAAGAAAGATGGATATTCCTTGCTCATTATCAAACAATCACTTATTCATAAACTCATGGGTCTATTAGTTTTGAATGACTGATGACTAATATTAAGCTTCAAGCTTCGATCAATATGAACTTGCATAATAACAATTACAGATATTTCCAAACTCAATAAGGTGTTCTATGATGCATCTTAATCAGCTGTTATGATTCTGATTTGAACATAAATGATTGTTGTTTGGTTGAGACCAACTTTTCCTCTGATTCGCATGGTGATTATCTGCATGGGTCAAAACATGCGATAAGCTATCCCATTCGTTGGCTAAAAATTTCCAACAACACCCCCCCCCCAGCTCACAGCACCTCTCTCTGGTTCATCTTCTCGATGCTGCTACTCTCTGTTTCCACCAAAAGCAACTGCTTTTCAAAAGGTTCTGCTGCTACAAAAACCAAGTCCTCAACCCAAAAGCCAGTCTTCTTCTAGTCTCCCTCTCTTCCCTCTCTATCTCATTCTCTACACTTTTATCCTTGATTTTCTTGTAATTTTCAGGGTTTTAGTAAGTTGGAAATTTCTTGATTCTGGACAGGAAAATGAAGAAAAATTGAGGCTCTAGTCAAACATTAATTTCTGTAACAAGTGCGTTGATGCATCTTACGTTTTAAACTTTTGTTTCTTCTAAATTGTTTTTTACTTGATGTTGTTCCAATTATGCGAGTGGTTGTGTAAATTTAAGGCAGATGGGATCCCTATAATACTACAAGGTGAGGTTAGTCGCAAAAGGATACATGCGCACATATGGAATATATACATGCGCAAAAGGATACATTCGCTTTGTAGCAAAGATGAATACAGTGAGGAGTTTTGTATGTCCTTGGTTGTTAATTTTGATTGAGTACAACAGTATGAGGTGAAGAATGTTTTCGTTCAATGTGAACTAGAAAAGAAGATTTAGATGAGCATTCCAGAGGGATTAAGTAGAGTTGACACAACAAAGTTTGTTGATTAAAAAATGTGATCTATGGCCTGAAACAATCACCATGTGCTTGGTTTGGACGGATTTCCAGGGTGATGATAGCTGGTGGCTATACGCAAAGTTGAAGAGAGCACACACCGGTTATCAAGCATTTTGCCTAAGGGGGGATTACAATTTTCATTGCATACATGGGTGATATTATAGCAACAAGAAATGATGAAGTAGAGAAGGAGGTCTTGAATCGCTGTCTAGCCAAGAAATTTGAAATAAAAGATTTATGAAAATTAAAGTACTTCCTTGGAATTGAGGTGGTCGGTCAAGGAAGAGAATTTGTATTTCTCAACACAAAAATGTTATTGACCTACTTAAGAACATGGGCAAGACAGCTAGTAAACCGATTGAAACTCCCATAATCCCATTGAACAAAACCACAACTTACGTGAGGCTTTTGAAGATGAGAGAGTGGGTAAAGAGATGTATCAAAGACTTGTTTGGAAAACTCGTCTATAAAAAAAATGGCACACGATACCAGCTATAGTTTATTCAGCCAGTGTTATCAGTCAATTTATGCATGATCCTAGAGATGTACACGTGCAAGCAGTCCGCCGAGTGCTTCATTACTTAACGGCATGTCTAGGGAAAAGAATATTATTCAAGAATGGGTCAGCAATTGATCTATCAATTTACACAGACACGAACTATGTAAGGTCTCCGGTTGACAAACAATCAACTACGAGCTATTGTACTTTTCTTGGAGGAAACTTGACATCATGGAGAAACAAAGTGTGGTAGCAAGGTCAAACTCCAAAGTATAACAGTTTAGACCTATGGCCACATGAGTATGCGAATTATTTTAGGTCAAAAATTTCTTGAGGACCTAAAGATTTAATGAGGCTAACTGATGAAGCAATACTATGATAACAAATCAGCCATACGTTAGCCCACAGACCAACATGACCGGACAAAACACATAGAAATAGACAGCACTTCATTAAAGAAAAGTTGATATTGGGCTAATTTGTACTCCATTAGTCCCGCCAAGACTTCAGCTTGCAAATGTGATGACAAAGGAACTGTATAACATGTTTCATGAGAATGTTAGCAAGCAAAGAATGAAATCTCGTATTAGTGACCTTGGGAGAAATTTCAGAGAAAATAGTGGAACGAAATCAGTAGGTTGAAATCTATTCCTAATATTAAGAGAATTAGCCTAGTTTAGCATTATATAAAATTGTGTGTGTGTATATAAGAGAAAGGATCGTACAACAAATAAAAATTCTTCATAACCCTTTTGTTTTTATTCAACAGAAGTTTATTTGATTGTCAAGAGTCGGCCACTTAGTTAGCCTAGAGGAGTAGAGGTCTTGTACCTTCTCGCATGCTTTTACTATTACATGCTTTAGTATCTCGCTTGTTACCTTTAGTTCGATTATCCCTGCCTACTTTCTACAATTCATGTTTTTTTCTCTTCCCTCTATTTTCAAACTTTTGTCTAACTTTTAGATCCAAATATGTATTTGAAAATCATGCTTTCTAAAACATTTTTCAAATTGGTCTTTATGGAAACCTCTTTATCCCTTGGAGTAAAGGTATAGTCAGGGGTCTTTACAGAAACAGTCTCTCTACACCTCAGGCTATGTTGTTATATCGGTCAGAATACGAAATATCGGTCAGGACCGATATTCGATACATCGGTTATATCGGTGATATATCGGTGATATATCGGAAATAGCGGTTAACATAATATTTATTAGAATTATATATATAATATGCATTAATTAGAGTTTAGAAATATAGTTTCAAAATTAAAACATCACATAGTGTTCAAAATTTTGGGCTTTTGTTATTCCATGGGCCTGGGCTAAATTAGGTCTGAATCTGAAATCAGTGAAGCTTCCTTACTCCACAACGTCGTCTTCTTTCTTGAGTTAATCACGAGTTCACGACTTCAACTTCAGACTTCTTCTCACAACTTCGACTTCTTCTTCTTCTCACGGCTTCGAGTTCACGTTCACGGTCTGTCTTCACGTTCACGGTCTCTCTTCTCACAACGTCTTCTTCTTTTCTCGGTCTCTCTTCACGATCTCCTCTGCTTACCAGGTTGCTACAGCCACAGCAGCAACTGTAATCGACACTTCTCGATCTCTTCTCGATCTCTTCTCGATCTCCTCTGCTTACCAGGTTGCTACAGAGTACAGCCACAGCAACAGAGCCAGCGACAGCAACAGAGCCAGCGACAGCAACAGAGCCAGCGACAACAACAGAGCCAGTGAATGTATCGGTATATCGGTCCGATTTTTACCTCAAATATCGCTAAAAATCGCTAAAAAATCGCTAAATATCGCCGATAATATCGGCCCCGATATTTTGACTGATATTTATGGTCCGATGTTTTTCCTAGGAGCGATATCCGATATGTCGACGATATATCGCGATATTAACAGCATAGCCCTCAGGGTAAAGGTAAGGTATGTGTACATATAGTTATATACATATATATTTTCCAAAAGAACTAGTGTTTGTTCTCATTAACTTGGAAGGCAACTTAGATTGATATATATACAACTAAAGAAACTAGTTAAGGAAAACATATTACTATGCTAGGAAAGTAAAACCCCTACTTTACTATATCTAACACTCCTCAAGTTGGAGCGAAGATGTTAATCATGCCAGATGTGACAGGTTGCTAGTGGATCTTATGCCCATAATTTGACACGACAATCCATTAGCAAGGCGAACTTGTTTATAAGGTATATTAGTCTCAAGATTGGATAAAAGGTCTTTGTTCCAGGTCATGTGATCTATGGCTCCCGAATCAAGAACATAAGATGGGGAGCATGTAGAAAAACAAGTAGATGTGATACTTGATTGTGCTATACTAACACAAAAAGTAGATGGAACATAGACTTGAAGAGGATCCAAAACTATACTCGACATTGATTGAAATGGAACTTTGTCTCCCATGATCTTATAAAAAGGACAGAACTTTTAGCATGGACAGAGCAAGATCGTGAGAGATTGGAGTTCTATATAAAGATTTGTCACTAGAGAATTTCCAAGTTGAGAAACACGAGTATTTAGGGTTTTCAAGAAGAAGCACAACAAGGATTCAAGAATTTCAAGGATTTCAAGGAGACTTTAGAAACTTTCTTCAACAAAGACTAGCTCTGGAAAAGGCATTCAGACCAGCAGCAAAAACAGGGACCCAAAAACAGGAACCACACCTAATTCTGGAGAGGGTGGCAGCGAGTGGTGGCGCCGGCAACAAGAGCGGAGCCGGCTCTGGCAGTGGTGGAGAGCAGTGGTAGGGTCGCCTTGCTCAGAAGTCGACGGTGGCTAGGGTTTTTGGCAGAAATGGCAACAACGACAAAGGCAGCTAGGGTTATTCCCGTGGCGACTAGGGTTTAGACAACAGAGTACAACGGCAGCTAGGGTTCAGGCGAAAGAGTTCGGCGGCAGCTAGGGTTCAGGCTCTGATACCATGTTTCCAATAGAACTGGTGTCTTTTTCTCATTAACTTGAAGGAACTTTACATTGGTATATATATGCAGCTAAAGAAACTATTTAAGGAAAACATATTACTATGCTAGGAACATAAACCTTACTTTAGTGTATCTAATAATATACATATATATGTACAATAGATAACATTCAAACTGCCCATTCTGAAAACTTGTTACACGGTAAAATTTTATTGTGTACTAAGACATACAAACTACAGATCATCTTAATCATTCTAGCCACTTAATCATTTTGCACATAATCATTCAGGATTTGTTAATAACCTCTTAAGTATTTGGAAAATTAAAAAAAAAGTTCACAATTAAATGGCACATTACCAGTAGTGCATCTTAGCAAGTTGCACACATTCATTAGAGTAAAAGATTATTATGCTTCAGCTATCTTCATCAACACAAAAAGTGCATGTAAAGTCATAACATTGCCAGTTCAAACAAGAAAAACAATCAACAGAACAACCTTGTGGAATAGGATAAAATTGCAAACCTGTAATCAGGCCGAAAATCATGACCCCACTTAGAGACACAGTGAACTTCATCAATTGCAAATAAAGCAATTCCACGACCTTCCGCGAGGCTTTGAAGTGGTTTCATCAATCTGCAAGAGAATGTGAAGAACATTTATTTGCCTGAAATATCTGCAACACAAATCCATAAAACAAACCTAAAATTAACACAGATCACTAACCTCAAGATCGTCTCAGGGCATACATAGATGATTTCATACATCCCTCTCATTGCCTTCTGCTCAACACTATGATCAATCTGTCCAGATCCAAGAAAACAGGCTGACACACCATGCTTTGCTAGCTTCAAGCATTGATCATGCATCAAGCTTATCAAGGGTGAAATCACCACCACAACCTTCCCCGTTAATAGTGCTGGAATTTGAAAACATAAAGACTTCCCTATGAAAAGACTAAAGGTGAGACAATAATTTCCAGCAATAAAGTTAACAAAACAACTTGGTGTTTAAAGAAAATGACCCAAATTGCATGTGTTTACCTGATCCTGTTGCAGCAAGAACAAGGCAGTCTTTGTGGGCTATCCAAGCTGCCAAGGCTTCCTTTTGAAATCCCTTTAAGGATGGATAACCGAAATGCTGCTGCAACAACGTATCAGCTCTAAGTTCCCAATCTGATCCAACGTCTTCTTCCAAAGAGTATGATGAATTTACTGATAATCCAGGAACGATACCCTGGTGAGAACAAATGGGCGAAATGGATTCATACCCCTCTCCATTCGTAGGCAAGACCTTTGCTCTTGAGACTGATACATCAGATTCAAGAGATGTCTTGCTAATCTTGGGTCTTCCTGCAGATTGCAGATGATCCATGATGCTCAACTGCCGCATACGCCCAACTGACTTTTTCCCGGTGGCAGATAAGTCTCTTTTTCTCGTAGCTTTCTTGCTGCCACTGGAGCACCTAGAACCGTCTGATTTGCCATCATGATTTTTATTGCAAGCATTCAAAATGAACTCGATTGCATTGTTTAATGATGGACCCACTTCTTTGATGGCTTCTGTCACCTCTGAAATCTGAAATCCCATACCTATGAGTTCTGCAATAACTAGGTCAGAAGCTAAATTGCTCCCCTCCATGGCATATATACTAGCTGTGTTGAAGAGAAACTGAATGAAACTGTAAATCAGATGCAGCTTTTAGAAAGAGAAAGGGTATGGATGACAAACTTTTGAAACCAAAAACATGAGAGTGAATTTGGCTACCTACAATCACAAACGAGCCATAAGAATTGTTTGTACCAAAAAACTATATATGCACTTGTGATATGTGTTACTTTTTTGAATTGTTCTCATTCAAAAAAGATCACTTGCAACCCTGTAGAAACATCTGAATGACACACACCCCCACTAGCGGTAGAAGTGTCAAAATTTATTATACACGTCTGTTCCAAAAATAAAGCACCTAGCAAGTTTATAGGATCCTGTCATTCCAGAATGACAATATATGTATATAATCACAACCTCTTGTTAGAAACCTTGCTATGTGTAATCTTAAAAATGTGCAGGGCTATGTCGGAGGGTGTGCCAATTTGAGATTCGGAACAGCGCCCCCAAAATTATTGGGGTCCCTTAATTTTTTTGGTTTCAATCGTAAATGTTTTAGCCTTTACCTAATTATAAATATGTTAATTTTCAGCCCTATTCCTTCAGCCTTCTGCATATTATTTTAGCCCACTGGGCAATTACAAGTTTACAACATCTTAGCAATTTAGCCCAATACCCCAATCCCTTCTCCCTCCTACCTGATTTGGCAATTCACTGATTCCGGTTAAGGCTGCAAATCTGCAATCCTCCTCAGCTCTCTAATTTGATGATTGAACTCCCCTAGTCGGCTAGTCCCAGTCATCTTTGTTTTCCCGGTGGTGAATTTTATGCTTGAAGAAAGTTGATTATGAAGAATTGATTAGATATTTTGTATCAAAAATGTTATATGAAAGAGTTTATTTAACTGAATTCCATACGTTACTTTGTCATTTTAGAACATTTTTGTTGTTTTAATTTGAAAGAATATTAATATAATATGTGGTACGAAAAGTTTTATAATCTGTTTTATTCATTATTTTGTCATGTCGATTTATAGTCTTGGTATAGATGTAACAGGGCTTCCAAAAATATTAGAACGACCCTGAAAATGTGTGGCAACAAAATAAATTACCCCCACAGCTTTCTATATACTCCTTTCAACAAAACAACTCAAATCTTTCTATTTTTGTGTTGGATCCACAGTTAATTTTATGAGTCCTTAGGATTGGGATATTCTCCATGATCGTAATCAATTTGGTGCCAAAAGGTTTGTTAGTAGGCATTTCATGATAGGTTATCATTTGAAGGGTAAGGATGGGAACAACACAAAGAAGCCTTTGCCATGAATTTGAATCATGCTAAATGACTACTCACTGAAAAGCTAGTGAAACCAAAAATCCTTGAAAGCTATGACGCCTTTGTAGAAAATATAGGCAAATCCCATCAAGGTAGTTGAATGCCTAACCGACCCATTATCTGCTCCACCATGTCTACATTAGTTGCAGATCACTATTGGATTATATCATCTAATGATAAACTTTAGAGATTCAGTTTGGTTCCATATCTTATTGTGTTGTCTAACTCTAGGTATAGCTTCCATGCTCTAAATGCTTCTTAAAAATGTAAAAGAAAGAACACGCATTCTTTTCTCATTCAAATACTAAATCATCCAAGCGAAAACCCAATTACCAGTTTACATTGAAAGAGGCTCCATATACGATTTGAAACTAGTACAAGAGTGTCCAACGAAGATAATAGAATAAATAGAGAAAGAACTTGTCGCAAAAAAATTCAAATGCAATAACAAGTGTAAAACTAGAATTGATGTATGAAACCTTACAAGAGCTTTCCTGAGCTGTGCAAAGCGAATTCAGTATTGAAATTTGAAAATCACCAGAAAGCCCTAATTGAGACAGATTGGGCGCGCATCTGAAATTATCAAACGGCGCAAAACGAATCAAATCGGTGGATGACTGAATAGTATCCTGACGGGACGGGAAAAGACTAGTATGTTTGTTCAATTATTTTAGGTATAGAACAGTGTTTATTTTATTGACCTATATTAGGATAACTTATTAAAGGTATATTAGAAGCGTCCTCGAGCAATGCAGCGAGATACATCGTGATTTTAATATTTTATTTTATTTTTTTATCTCAGTCAATGTTATAATATGGCTTTATGTAATTTTGAAAAAACGATGATGTTTTTATTTTTGAATAAAATATATGTTTGAAGATATCATAAAAATTTGACAAAAATATATCGA